CTTGTAGTCAAATGTTCTTATGTAACCAAAACACATTGAATATTGAACATTGAATACAAACAATAAAATAAAAGATTAAAAAATGGTATGGAATTTTACCTTAAATGAAAGAATGATTTCTATATTCTCTAGTCTGAAAATTATAGCATGGCAATTGATATTTCATATTGGAACTAAGTTTTCTCTGCTTGTAACAATCACATAGTACTTTTCTTTGAGACAACTATCATACTTTGGTATATACAAAAGTGCTGCATTCTTTACACAGAAGGTTGGAGATGGAAGAGTCTATAAAATGCTCCACAAAGGACATTTTGAATTTCTTTCTGTCACTTTTAAATTGATTAGTTGTGGTGAAGAAAATATCAATACGCAAGGCAATTGGTGCCCATATTCTAAGTTATAGAAAGCCACCAGGAAATTTTACACCATTGCTTTTGGGAAATGTGGATCTAATGTCAATCTAATCAATCTAAGAGCAAAGGGGGAAATAAAATCTTAGTGTTAATATGTAGTTAGTACTAATGTGGGCCAGCAAGATGGCCTAGCAATTAAAGGCCCTTGCCACCAAGGCTGATAAACTGAGTTTAATCCCTAGGATTCACATGGTGGAAGGGAAGAATCTTAAGTTGTCTTCTAACTTCCACACTGTACACGCTAGTGTACTTGTACACTTCCCACATATGCACAATAAACAAATGAACAAACGAATAAATGTAAGAAATATTTTAAAAAATACTATTAATGTTATAGGTTCCTGAAAGATATTTGCAGACTGTGTATTGTGCTTCACTGTCCTAAGAAAAAGTTTTTGGAACCCGGATTCAAGGATGTGTCTATAGATTCTTAAACTTGGAATATTTGTCCTAGAGCAACTCTGGCTTCACTCCCTTCCCTGGTCACTCTAGATCTCTTGTACCTTATCATTTCAAATGTGTTCTTGCCGATATCCTCCTTCCCACTGCCATCTTGCCCCTTTGCCCTCTTGTGTTTAACACTTCTAGTCAGAATGAATTTTCTTCATTTCGTTGCTAAGTATACTTAGAAAAATATTAAATAAAAGTGTTCATCTTTATATATGGTGTCCAAGAAGACCTAAATATTTTTTCCTGAAATTGACCTACACTCCTAGTCACTGAATTTGAAGAAGCCAGATGCTGTCTACAAAGAAAGACAGGTTCTGAAACATAAACAGCATGTACTCAGAGTGTACCATTTTTACTAACCACTAGGTGGCAATAATACATCTAAGGAAGAGCACAGCAAAGCAAGTCTGTAATTCATATTTGACCTTAGCCAAAAGAGGTGATAGGCCTGTGCCTTTAACATCTTGAAACTTGATTTTAGACCATCCTGCATTAAGAGAAATGAGACAACTTGTTTTTCATCAATGATATTGAAACAATCTCCTATTTACATCCTGTGTGCCTCCAGAGACCATTTCATAATCACAAGGCCTATAAAGTGGCCTGTGAATCAGCCACATTAGATAGATGATGTACTTTTTAGTAAAAGGCAAAGTTAGAATGCAAACGTAAGGTTTAATTTCAAATCCCATAAAGACTCAAAGATACATTAAAAATAGTGCTT